GTTTAAAGTGGCACATTTTGTAATCCTCAGCCAGGAGGAGGTGGTGCGGAGGGGTGTGTATTCACCACAGGACCTGTACACCTTTCCTGCCACACGGGTGGGTGAGTCCAGCTCTCTAAAGGTCAACGTCCGCAACAACTCGTCCGACACGCATGAGGTGGGGCATAATTTATTCTCATGAAGGTGTAAGGTTTTTTTCTTGCCTACTGCAGCAGAAACTGAAGTTCACTTACATGCAAATGCAGTAAGATCATGTCAGAAAAGTGAAGTTGTCACAGAGTTAACACAAGCAAGGAAGTAAGATGAGAGATTGTTTTAAAAGAAGTCATTCTTTAAGTTTGAGTTGCCTCTGGAGATGACATAATGTGTTAAGGAAGCAGAAGTAGAGATACCTTGAATATATTTGTGATTCTCTTTACCACTAAAAGAAATTGCATGCCTGAGTTGATGTAATTATACTAAGTGAAAAATACAGTAACACCCCTAACACTTGTCACTGTGCTTTGCATGGATTTGATATGTGATGTGTGGCTTCTCTAATTGACTTGCAGCTGAAATTTGTAAACCCTAGCGAGCCCTTCTACATCAAGCATTCCAGATATTCTCTGAGGTGAGTCTGATGTTTATTACAACAAACACAAACCTTTTGATTGCTACTTTTAGACTTGGTTTAGGCTTATTTGGAGCTCTTGAAGTTTTTCTGGTATTGTTATCATACAACTGAGTAGTTGGTTAGATCATGTTTAACCAAAAAGATGTTCTGTGGTCTAACTTGGAGACTGCATAATGTCATTTTCCCATTGCAAATGCTCACTGTGGGAGGTCCTGTGAGAAGCTGGGACCGGGAGGATGATCTAACTTTCTAGAGTATATACTTGAGGCCTGAGTACGAGTGATGTTTTTGCCTGACAAAGGTGTTTGGAGGGGCGGCCTGGTCACAGGTACCTGTTGTGTTGTGTTGTGCTGTGCTGGTGAGGAACAGTGTTCAGAATGTGCACATTATTTGTTGTTTTGTAGTGGCTAAAATGATGCCTAGTATGGAAATGAATTACTTATTGAAATGTATTTGCTTCACCAACAAAATGAAAGTACTGTGACACATTCCATAGTAAAGCATGACAATTATGTGAAACAGTCACAACCTGAACCTCCCCCAGCTTTGCGATAGGTGTGCTGTGAGCACTGCTGTGTGTGGATTTGTGATTTTGGTGTTCCCAGCATGTTGTGGATCTCATTACGATGACCACAGGTTTAAAGAAATGCTTCTCCAGTTTCCCTTGTATAAGTATAATCTTAGTATAAGCATTTAGTTCTGAAATACCTCTGTATCTAAAGCCAACTTGAATATATAACCAGTATAATTGAAGTAGTTCTTGAACCTCAACTAAAATTTAAACTTTGCTAGTTATGAATGGATTATTAGTGCTAGTCATTGATATATGGCTGCATCATGTGATTGTTTTCACCATTGATTCATTATTTGTTCTGTACAACATTAGAAAACACTAATTAATCCACAAATAAAATACTTTTTAAAGCTTTGTTTTAGAATGGCTGAAAGATGCATTAATAGTAGACGGACTGGTCGTTTCAGGTTCAAGTGTTCCATCACTGTGCAAAGTGGTTGTGACTGATATCAATTACACTTTAAACAATATGAAACGGTGACAGTGTAGGATTTTATTTATTTTTAGATGAGTGCAGTGCATATTTGAATGCATTTTGAATCTATATTTGTGCTTCTTCACAGCCGTTCAGTAACCGTCTTTGTTCTTCCTCGACCTTTAGATCCCAGCACTATCTGAAGCTACCCGTCCAGTTCAAGCCCAGTACCGCAGGCGGACACAGCGGCTTGCTGCTCATCCAGTCAGAAACAAGCGGAAGTCTTGTTATTCAGCTGACTGGTGAGGCATTGCCTTGAATCCACCGTTTTTAACCATCCCACGCCACCTCGTCGTGCCGCCTGGCTTTGGGTGGTGCTCCTCTCTGTTCTCTTCACTGTGGGAGAGATGTGAGTGACAGAATAAAAGGCATGAGGTCTAAGGATCAAATAATGTCAGCCTCTGGATTTAAATCCTTCCTTGTCGTCATGTGTGGAGATGCACGCTATAGCTGATTGAGGGGGACTGACTGAGACTCCTGCCAACACAGCCCCAGCTGCCTGTGGATAAGGCACAGGTGTCCTCAGCTGGCCGATGGAAAATGATTGCGCCTGTTTGTGCCTGAAGCTGAGTAGTTTGAATCTGTCCAGCTCACAATTAGTCTGCACGGCCCCGGCGTTCCAGAGAGCTAATGCATTTTGTCACTTGACTCTGGATCTGGTGTTTCGCTTTCTCTCTGAGTCATGTCACAAAGTAGCATTGCTGTTGCCATGGTCTGTCGGACAGTAGCGGCACCAGCTGAGATACTTTGGAATTAATTGGAGCTGGGCATGCAGGAATGCCTTTGTTTGCTGTTCGGTAACATCACTGCAGGGATTTTGTTTTTGGAAAAGCCACATTTTTGCCTGTTTGTTGTGTTACATAGTGGATACATACCTTTTTGTCTCAGAACTCTGTGGAGTCATCTCTGCCATTACCTCCTAACTGAAACAAGGACCCGAATAGATTTAAAGCTTCAGTTTTCCTGGAGTACATTTTAAAACTGCTATTCTAGCTCTGCCTGCATCTCACAACATTTTCCTAATCTTCTGTACTCGTGTTTGTTTCTATGGAGATGGCTCTTCATCTTGCAGGGCCCACCTGCGCAGTAGCCTTTGTCAGCACCATGTGTTGACTTCCCCACAACCTCCAAGGCTCATTCCAAACAGCCCAGATGTACTTAATTTAGTCATGTTCAGGGCAGCTCACAGCAACATTAGGATGGTTAATGATTGTTATTACATGCTAAAAGAGTTTCCTCTGGTGGGGTTTTCATTCGGCAGCTTGCCAGGTCTGTTCAGTATGGTTGCCATGGCAAAACAGTTGTTAATCACTGTTCCAGTCACAGAAAATTATCTCCCTGTTTCCTCTTTTGGCTCTGGGGCAAATGGCCAAAATTGCTCAGGGGGTTTTGGATTTGCTTCCATAATCAGTTTTGATATTGAAGGGGATGGAAATGGGGAAACTTTATCAAGGAGGTGTTGTTAACCTGCTAGTGCCTCACATTGTGACAATACGCTGAAGAACACTATTCTTTTGTACAGTTTTTTCCTACTTGTGTAGCGGGTTTTAACATGAAGGCAGTGTACTGTTAAACATCCCAACATGTTTTGATTTACAATTTGCACATGCTTTGAATAGCAATTATGTAATATATTGTATGTAATATATGTTTAAATAAAGTTTTGTGACAATTGAAGGTGCAGTGTCTTTTGTTTTTTCCTTTAGCCCACATTGCTGTCAGAGGTATCAAAGTGGACAAATATGATTTATGAAATATATTAGAGTAAGACTTTCTGTACAATAAGGCTTTCACTTAATGCTACAACTTGTTAAAGAATCTAACAAAAGCCCAGTTATTTTATAAGAAGGCGATGTGTTTTCAGAAGTTCTGTTAATTTGTTTGGATAAATGACATAGCTAGCCTCCACATGATGGAAGCACTACTCTGTATAAATAACTTCAGATTGGCTGCCATGTAATAAGCTTTAGTAAGTGGATTTATGGGCATCATGTTCGTTAACAATAACAAGTGAACAGTGAAAATGTTTCATACTCTAAAGTCATGGGTTAGTTGTTCAGTTAGCTTTATTTAAATCCCAGATTTGACTTTTAATCAGATTTATTTTAGCAGATTTCTTCAAGCAAACTTCCTGAAATTAAAGTCTGACTTAGCTGGAATAAAAATGGTAACAATTAAGCCATTAAATCCTTAAAAATTCAAATGAGAATAAAGGAAAGCTGATGTACATTCTTGTATTCGGTTTGATCATGCTGGCATTGTATCAGCTCCTTTTAAAGCACTGCATGGTCTAGCTCTTTTAAATTCTGCAAGATTTCACATCACATTGAAATGTCCCTGAGTGAAGCGGTGAACTGGGAATGTTACTGCAAATCTGCTCCTGACCCGTGTGACCTCTGGAACAGCGAGTTAGCAAACTTTTACTACTTTGCCTGTTAAATGCCGTGTGCCCGGCAGGTGTCGCCAAAGCGTTGTGTAAAGCCCGGCTGTCAGCAGCATGTACTGTACAGTAGGACAGCTGGGCTTTATTTTGCTTCCCAGACTGGAAACCACTGTAGTGCAGTTGGACTTGACGTCTAGCAACACAACATCAGACTTTAAACAAGCAGACCCGGTGGCTTTGCAAGTTAGCGGCTGCATTCACAGGTAGGAAGCCTGAGACCTTTTCTGAGTAATTTATATGTGTTTTTTTTGGTAAATGCACAGTGTGTGATCGTAGGCGGCTGCAGGAATGTTCTGGTTATGCTAGCTGATGTGGCTAAAAACGCTAGCGAGGCTGTGCCGGCGTGAGGGGCGGCTGACTTTGAGCCAGACTGTTTAAGTTGCTGGTTAGAGTTGGAGCCGCTTTTCCAAGCTGCGCCAGACAGCACAGCTAGGCTAAATTAGCAGCGAGCAGGCTAGCTCTGGCAGCCGTCCATCCTGCCGGGGCCACAGCAGCAGTCCGCTATGTCTCTGTCCCTGCGGGGCATCGCCGCCTCCCCACTGACCGTGACCTCCGCACTTGCTCTTATCATTTATCGCCCTGAATACACACACACACACACACACACACACTGAGAGGTGTGCTTTCCCCCCTGCCTGCATCCTGTGTCGTTAGCTGTCATGTTCTGTGTGATTTGATGAACAAGCTAGCCGGGAAGCTAGATTAGGAAGGTGATCCCCTGAGCTGTCACTCATATCTCAGACCACAGGCTCTCCAACTTTTTCCCTATGCAAATGAGGCGCGCTGTGCATGTAAGCTGGTCCCACTCACGAGAAGCATCATCAGGCGAGAGTTGCTCCACAGCTGTGCAACAGAGTAGGATGATAAGGGAGCACAGAAACATCTTCCCATCATTCCCAGTTTGAGACCGATACTTATTTAAGGAACCCCATGACTCCCTCCCACGCTTCATATAGTGCACCCTGCCTTCCTGGCTGGAGGTTTAAGAATGTGATGATGAAGCATAAACTAAAAGCACCCGTCATGCATGTGCTCCACAGTGTTCCCGAAGTGACCCATACTCTCTGCATGGTTATGTTTTATCTTAACCCAGGCTCTGCTAAACCTAAACCTCTGCTGCAGAGATTTGCAGAAATGGTCCAGTAGCAAAAAAAAAAAAGTGTCTGCTACATCTTAGAAAGCCATGGATCCAAATTTCAACCGAATACAGTCTTTAAACATGCTGATCTATATGTGATGCTGTGCAGGAGCAGAGCACTGCTCTGTGCCTTTACTGTATTCCAGCCCACTGATCGGGTTTACATTAATTCTATTACAGAGCTCTGTTCTCTGGTGAGCTGCATTAAGGGCAGGGGTGTGTTTCCCCCCTCTGTCTGGTAGAGTCTGGAAGAGAGAATTCAAGCACATGCAATCTTTTTTGTTCCTTGCCTGCATGGCTGATTGTACATAAAGCAGTCAGAGATGATTCAAATCAACCACAGCTCTCCTTGTCCTGAAGGTCTCAGTGCAAGACCTGCAGAAGAGCTTTGAAGCATTATTTAGTGCTGCTAGTGCTGTTTTTGGCTCTGCCCTCTCCCTCTCTGCTTACCTGTCTGTGACCCCACCCTCCCCACTACGCACAGTCTCAAGTTCCAGCTCCTTTCTGTTTCCCTCATGTACAAACCTTACAAAGTGCTGACACACACACACTGAGCCCAGCGCTTACCTTCTTGGGATGCCGTGTCAGAGTCCTGGGCTGTGGCAGCAGTATGCAGCAGTGTGGAGTGGGTGCTCTCGTGTCTTTATCCTTTTGTCGCAGCAGTGATGAAGCGAGGTGTTGATGTAAAGCTTGTTGAGCAGGGGTGCTGAACAATATCCCAGCTTTCATAGGGTGAGAGGCATGCACACAATATTGTTTAAACATTGGTTTTATTGGTTTGCTGTCTAAACTTCTCACAGCTGTGGCTGGATGCATGTTGGTGCACTGGTTAGTACTGTCACCGGCACAGGAAGAATGGGGCCTTTCTGTAAAGAGTATGCTTCTTCTCCATGTGCCTGTGTAGGTTCTCTTTGGGTAGTCCAGCCTATCCAATACTGTATCACACATCTCGGGCAGTGTTAGGCTACGTTCACACTGCAGGTCTTAATGCTCAATTCCGATTTTTTGATCAAATCTGATTTTTTTGTCTGCTTGTTCACACTACAAATAAAATGCGACAGCAAATGCTCTCAAGTGTGAACGCTCAAAGCAGCCCGCATGCGCAAAAGAAGATGTCACACACAACGTGCTCTGTTTAGACCCAGAGCAAACAATATTGTTTGACTGATGGCCCTAAATATATAAAGACTTCTGACTTTATTTTTAATTTTTGCTTTAAGTTATTTTGTTATTTACATAATAATGTAAATAACCTATTTTAATGCGACTTGACCATTCACACAGCAGTCGCTTTCTAAAACATCGGATATGTATCGGATTCAGTACCACATATGAAAGTGACCCAGATCGGATTTGAAAATATCGGATTTGTGCCGTTCACACTGTCATACCATGATCGGATATGGGTCGCATAGGGTCAAAAAAAGTCAGATTTGATGCACTTTCGCCTGCAGTGTGAACGTAGCCTTAGTTGGAATAGGGTCAGTCTCTCGAGGTCCTGTGCATGATGTGGGTGAGCGGTTTAGAAGACTGACAGATGCCTTTGTAAAGAGAGAGCTGAGCATGTTTCACCAGTTGATCTGTGTGCTACTCTTACCTATGACAACAGTCTGTGGGGTAGTGACCAAAACAATAAGATCATGGATACAAGCAGCAGAAACGAGCTTCTCTCATAGAGTGTCTGTACTCAGTCTTAGAGAGAGGGGAAGAAGCCAGAACATTGCAATATACGGTGGGACGACTGGATAAATATATCAGCCATCAGAGGTTTGCTAATTAGATTACCAGATTGTTATTTTTAGGTGATATTTTCTGTAATTTGGTTGTAGTTGTAGTTTTTTGTTGTAGTATTTTCCTGGCTTTGTGGTTTGAATGGTCCACTAGTGGCTGGTTGGAAGGTTTTACCATTCTGCCCAACTCTCCTTGCTGTTCCCTGCATGTTTATGAAGTAGCTTAAATCATTTTAAATGTGAAGGATCAAAGTTGTTGGCAACACAATGTCATTCATTATAGTTTCCCAGTTCGTTCGGAGACTTTAGATGTTCAAATTTTCCACCGATGTACGCAACAGCAGCTCCTAAAACTGTGCAGTTTATGTTGCAAGTGACAAAAAGCAACTTGGAAAAATACATTTGTCTATTATTAGTCCCGTTTAATGTGACCCATTTTAATGACATGTCTGTATAAATCTCATAAAAACTGTTTCTAAAGAGTTGATTTCATGGGCAGCTGAGGCTCCGGAGTCTCTGGTTTAATTGAGCTTTGTTCAAAAACCAAAGAACAGAGGACGAGCATTCCCTGTTTTAAGGTCAGCTCTGTGCGCAGGCTCAACTCAAAGAGTCTATTAATATATAAGTGACTAAAAACCATCAAGTCATGCAATAATAACTAAGTGGGAAAGTTGAGGAGAAAGTCAGCAGGCAGACAGCGTGTATTATTAGCTACAGTAATGTGCGCACGTCTACCAGGTCGAGCTGTGCGCAGCAGACACAAACTGTAGTGTTGCCTCTCAGAGCCAGACTTGTGTGTGTGTGTGTGTGTCCATCTGTCTCTTTGTATTTCTGTCTCTTTGTTTGTACTATTCTGTGTATGACTGTAGCTGACCGTCAGTCTCTGTGTGTGTGTGTGTAGTGTTAAAGCAAGTGTGTGTGTGTCTGTGTGTGTGTTTCGCCCTTTGCCAATTAGCGGCTTCTCACCTCCTGAGGCGAGAGGCTGAGTGTGTGTTAGACAGAGGAGGGAGACTTGATGGGGCTTGTCTGCCGCTGACGGCTCAGCCTTAACCTGAACTCTAACACTCTTTCTCACTCTCACGCACACACTTGAGTCTGAGCTCTGATACACACACACACACACGCACACACACATCCCCAGCCAGTTGTTGATAATGCAGCCTTGTCTGTCTCCGAGTCCATGTGACACGCCAAAATGTGACAGTATTGTGTTGGTGGAGCGAAAGGCGCGAGACGGGCTAAGACGAGTGCCAGCCTGCTTTGGAGCGTGTGTTTGTGTGTGTGTGTGTGTGTCTTTGTCTGGGTTGTGCTCATTCAACTGTGCGCCTTTGTACATACAAATGTCTGCAGCGAGTGTTGTGCGTGTGACTTTATCCAGTGGAAATAATGTAAATAGCACAAATCAGACGTTCAACCTTTTCCTTCTTTGTGGAACTGTTCTTTTAAAAGAAAAGAAAAGATTTTTCATGCTGCTGCAGAATTAATCAAGAAAAGTTCATTCTTTTTATGCTACAAGCTCATTTTTATCCTTCAGTCTGATCGCCTCGACAACAACTTGAGAAGGATTGAAAAACAGCATGATACCAACGATTTTCTTTTAAATTTATTTGGCATCTCCTTTAAAAAAAAAAAAGGAACCCATGCTCGAGATGTAGCATATCCTTTGAAATGGATCACAAACAAGATTTTCATATTCTCGCCAAAGAAAGGAAAACATTTTAACAGCTCTATCCCAATTTCTGTATTTTTAAAGATATCCTCTTGGCCAGAACTGTACATCTCGCTGAGTTCTGACTGAATACATCCAAAAATGTTGTGCTAGTCAAACGGGAGATCAAAGTGCTGCGTGAAGCCGCCTGAGAAAAGCTGCGGTTTTATTTTTAACCCCAGTTGGCACACCGTGATAAGTTGATCAAAGAACTTATTTGCCAAAACATGGTATATTCTTCCGCGCTAGCCTGCAGAAATCACAGCATTAAGGTGCGTGAGCTGTGTGAAAGTTAATCTCAGCCATTCAGCGAACACAGAGCAGCCTTACAGAGATATTTCTGTTCGGCTTTGACACCACAATCCTCCTCTTCATCTCCTTTGGAGATTTCATGGATTGTGTAAACAGTT